CGGGAAAGCGAATACCGCACGGGATGGGACAAGTTTGTCAGGGACTCTAGACCTTACCGTGTACCGTCCCGTGGTCCTCAATCAAAAGTACCAAAGTGACAACGTGCCACCCTTCCAGATCATCGTCTGACTACTTTTGGATTACCTCCATTAGTTCAAAGTCCTTGGTGGACGCTCTGGCATGCGCTGCACTTGATACAGCAAACACAGTTAACGAAGCATGACTAGCCATCCGTTCAACCAAGGGACGCGATAAACACAACACAAATGGGCGCTATTCAGTAGCTCGAACGGGAAAAACATTCATTCAGGAAAATATCTCACAGTTTCAAAGTTCAGTAGTGCGTCAACAGCCTTTGTGCTCTTGTGATTATCCTTCTCGTTCATATCCCGACGATATTTGGCACGCCATTCCGTCACAGCCATAGTCGACGCTGACCGGAACGCAAGCAAGCGAAAAATGTTCAAATTAGCATTTTTAAAGTGTATATATAGTGGAAAATTAAATCGACGTCAACGATTTGTTGTATTGTCGTTAGACAAAGGGCTTATTTCCTTTTTTAAAAGCGAACTCGTCGCGTAAAGGGGGATATATAGTCTATCAATAATGAAAAATTATACCAGGGTGGTACAGAGAGTTCCCTAAAAACCTATTAGAAGGGTCTGAAACGCGCACATACTGACATTTCGAAATTCACAAGCTGTGGGCATTGAGCGGTTAAGTCGGCGCCCGTTGCTTTTGGAGCTTGATCAAACGTTACAGAACTTGTGTAGATGTGACACACTACTCATAAGGTGAGTGAAAACTCTTCGACTACCGATGATACAGGCGAATCAAAAATCATTTTGAACGTCGCGCGTTCGGAGCTCTCTGAGATGCGCACTACTGAGGATTCTTTACAAGGATGAAACAACTGTACAGATTGACTTTACTGACAGGACGAAATCTCCATTAAAAATTACCAAATCTCCTGACGTAACCACCATTGCTATTCTTCATACAGATACGCGTCAGCCGCATCGTGTGACCCGAATCGTTGAGCGGTGCGTAAAAATCTACTGAAAAGCTGTAAACCAATGCCGGTAGTGACCAATTGCTACTTGCAAGAAACTCAGTAAACTGGGAATGGTTTCAAGGATGTTCACATGCATTCGGCAAACGAATCTCGTTTTACATGCAAGCAAGTGCCTCCACGTACCACCTCTGTCACACAGCTGAGTGAGCCATTTAGACGTGAATGCAGAGGGTATGTAAACACAGGCATATTGTTAAGTATATAAATACCTAGATGTGCGTCATCCCTCACTCTTCCTAAAAGTACAAACGGTGCTCCACTACTGATGAAAGAATTTAAAGATGCCACACAGAAAACTCTCACAAAAACAAACTGACTGGAACAAACCTACCTAAATAAACTCCCATGGTGGCTATAACGATCAGCCCGTACCAGACATTGAACGCACTCAAGAAGTAGACCACTCCAATGATAATATCGATGATGGTCGGCACGATGTTGAAGGCCAAATAGGACAAGATATTGGACACACTGCTTGTACCACGGTCCATGATACGCAACATTTCGCCAGTTTTTCGTGACAAATGCCACCTGAGCGAGAGGCTGGAAAAGAGTTAGCGTGTGAGAACAGTCAAACATACATCACTCACCAACTGATTTTATAGTAAAGTAGGGAAGAAAAGACCTAATGGAGGACATTGAACAGTGAAAAGCATTTTATTGATGGAAAACTATTGAGAAGCGACGTGTCTGCTGGAATTTTCAAAGCCCTCCGTTCCGAAAAAGCATGTATGAAACCATCTCTGTCGAGTTCGGAATCGGTGCCAGAGTAAAGCAAAGTTGTGTATCAGATTACAACCTACGCAAAATCATTTCGTAATTTCGAAGACGGCATACAAATCCGGACATTGCAGACGATTGACTCTTCAACACGCAAAGCTCCATGGCCAAGACTGTCGTGCAAGCACAATATCGTTAGGACAGACAAAAGACGGCGCTATAGACGAGCACATTAGGAGTTTAGAACACTGGATACCTTTTATCCGTTGAGTAGTACAGCAAGAAAACAAAGGCTGTGGGATACCGACACACTTTCCGCTGAAAAGCGCGTACAAAAATGCAGCGGCTTCGGCTGGCACGGATCCATTCGTAGAAAGTGTGAATCGATGAGAGGAAAGCCGTGAATTACAAAGCACGGTTTGCAGAAATCGAGTGTAGAACAGCTAGCTGGTCGTAAAAGTCAGTTGGACGAGAAGAAAACTACCAGCGGGAAAGCGAATACCGCACGGGATGGGACAAGTTTGTCAGGGACTCTAGACCTTACCGTGTACCGTCCCGTGGTCCTCAATCAAAAGTACCAAAGTGACAACGTGCCACCCTTCCAGATCATCGTCTGACTACTTTTGGATTACCTCCATTAGTTCAAAGTCCTTTGTGGATGCTCTGGCATGCGCCGCACTTGATACAGCAAACACAGTTAACGAAACACAACTAGCCATCCGTTCAACCAAGGGACGCGATAAACACAACACAAATGGGCGCTATTCAGTAGCTCGAACGGGAAAAACATTCATTCAGGAAAATATCTCACAGTTTCAAAGTTCAGTAGTGCGTCAACAGCCTTTGTGCTCTTGTGATTATCCTTCTCGTTCATATCCCGACGATATTTGGCACGCCATTCCGTCACAGCCATAGTCGACGCTGACCGGAACGCAAGCAAGCGAAAAATGTTCAAATTAGCATTTTTAAAGTGTATATATAGTGGAAAATTAAATCGACGTCAACGATTTGTTGTATTGTCGTTAGACAAAGGGCTTATTTCCTTTTTTAAAAGCGAACTCGTCGCGTAAAGGGGGATATATAGTCTATCAATAATGAAAAATTATACCAGGGTGGTACAGAGAGTTCCCTAAAAACCTATTAGAAGGGTCTGAAACGCGCACATACTGACATTTCGAAATTCACAAGCTGTGGGCATTGAGCGGTTAAGTCGGCGCCCGTTGCTTTTGGAGCTTGACCAAACGTTACAGAACTTGTGTAGATGTGACACACTACTCATGAGGTGAGTGAAAACTCTTCGACTACCGATGATACAGGCGAATCAAAAATCATTTTGAACGTCGCGCGTTCGGAGCTCTCTGAGATGCGCACTACTGAGGATTCTTTACAAGGATGAAACAACTGTACAGATTGACTTTACTGACAGGACGAAATCTCCATTAAAAATTACCAAATCTCCTCACGTAACCACCATTGCTATTCTTCAGAGAGATAGGCGTCAGCCGCATCGTGTGACCCGAATCGTTGAGCGGTGCGTAAAAATCTACTGAAAAGCTGTAAACCAAGCTACTTGCAAGAAACTCAGTAAACTGGGAATGGTTTCAAGGATGTTCACATGCATTCGGCAAACGAATCTCGTTTTACATGCAAGCAAGTGCCTCCACGTACCACCTCTGTCACACAGCTGAGTGAGCCATTTAGACGTGAATGCAGAGGGTATGTAAACACAGGCATATTGTTAAGTATATAAATACCTAGATGTGCGTCATCCCTCACTCTTCCTAAAAGTACAAACGGTGCTCCACTACTGATGAAAGAATTTAAAGATGCCACACAGAAAACTCTCACAAAAACAAACTGACTGGAACAAACCTACCTAAATAAACTCCCATGGTGGCTATAACGATCAGCCCGTACCAGACATTGAACGCACTCAAGAAGTAGACCACTCCAATGATAATATCGATGATGGTCGGCACGATGTTGAAGGCCAAATAGGACAAGATATTGGACACACTGCTTGTACCACGGTCCATGATACGCAACATTTCGCCAGTTTTTCGTGACAAATGCCACCTGAGCGAGAGGCTGGAAAAGAGTTAGCGTGTGAGAACAGTCAAACATACATCACTCACCAACTGATTTTATAGTAAAGTAGGGAAGAAAAGACCTAATGGAGGACATTGAACAGTGAAAAGCATTTTATTGATGTCCGAAAACTAGGAGTGCTCGGAACGAGGAATAATCCGCGGATTGTGTAAACTTTCCAGTCACGAAGTCGTCACTCGAGCAGCCAAGCGACACGTGACCACGTGATGTGGGTTATTTGATAAGCAGAGGAGCGGTGCTATATCATGTCAAATCGCAGGTTAATCGTGACGAGATGACTCGAGTGGTTAGAGCGTGAAGTTACCGACCGGAAGGTCCGTGGTTTGAACCCGACCCCTTCTGCCTCTCGACTTCCCCTGTCTAGGCTTGGGCAAACTGACAGTATCCCAGCCCTCGTGCAACNACATTTCGCCAGTTTTTCGTGACAAATGCCACCTGAGCGAGAGGCTGGAAAAGAGTTAGCGTGTGAGAACAGTCAAACATACATCACTCACCAACTGATTTTATAGTAAAGTAGGGAAGAAAAGACCTAATGGAGGACATTGAACAGTGAAAAGCATTTTATTGATGTCCGAAAACTAGGAGTGCTCGGAACGAGGAATAATCCGCGGATTGTGTAAACTTTCCAGTCACGAAGTCGTCACTCGAGCAGCCAAGCGACACGTGACCACGTGATGTGGGTTATTTGATAAGCAGAAGAGCGGTGCTATATCATGTCAAATCGCAGGTTAATCGTGACGAGATGGATCGAGTGGTTAGAGCGCGAAGTTACTGACCGGAAGGTCCGTGGTTTGAACCCGACCCCTGCCTCTCGACTTCCCCAGTCTAGGTTTGGGCAACTTGGCAGTATCCCAGTCCTCATTCTTCCTTCGGGTGACATGGCAGCTAGGCACCAAAAGGGTGTTACAGCTGAACGCAGGTCAATCACACCACTGACCAGCCGCTCGCGGCCAAACGATTAAGTGTTCAAACTACTGGTCTTGAAGGTCACTAGCCGAAAACTCTCTAGAGTTTCGCAAAGTCTGCATTGCTGTTGATTCCCAGTGATGATGAAGCAACTTTACGCTTCCTGATGGCATTCCGACACAGTACGGCTTCATCTACAAAACGAAATCTTGATTGAAAGGTCTTTGACCTCTGAAAATTTACACAAAATTTGACGTTCGTGTAGAATCCTATTAGGTGAATTACAACCGATCGATATGGTTTGTTGACTGAATGGAAATAAATGAGATCCCAGTTTCGGTATTTTGAATAATAATTAGTATTTTATTTTCAAATTGCGTAATTACGCCTATATTTTAGAAACTTTTTAAGTATTCTCAGGTGGAAAAATATGGTCTTCAGTTGGAGAGTGCAGGGAAAGTTTGCCAAAGATGACGCCATCCCGTGTTTGATTAAAAGTCCCACTAATAAAGAACGAGTGTTTTGAAAAGAAAAAGAAATTTGACATTCCTTGAAACACGCATGGAGCCCGACCTAATTGTGGATATACCTCGGCGGTGTGTCCTTCAGCAGTTGCTTCCTAACTGTGAAGGGCAAACGGAACTCATGACGTATGTGGTTTCTAGGATCTAATTCTGTGGGCTGGAATCGGTTGCAACCTAACTACTGGAGGAGACTGGATAGGAGCCGATGAACTTTCTAATCTGGGAAAACCCATAGGAGGATTCGTCAGGAATCCGTGGAAAGTTGAAAACCATAACTGCCTAGAAGTTTGCCTGAATCGGTGCTTCCTGAGCTCTCATTGTCCGGTCACGACATCATGCGTCAAATAATCCTGGTTGACCGTCGCTTGAACCACAGCATGGTTTAGCGACGAACTCAAACATTTCATGGAAACCATGATAAACCTTGTTTCGTCTTTAGCAGAAACCTCTAAGCCCTTCCAGTGGTCCACTCGCTTCAAACAGTATCTGAGGATCGTCATTATAAACTGTAAATTGTTAGCTTTTGAGCCGAAATCCGGTACAATGTTGCAAGCTACAAGATCTTTCTAATGTAATCTGTTAGATGTTGCGAAGTTCGAGAGGCACAGAGACAGTAAAAGTTTGTGTCACCATCAGACACAGGTTGGGCGTGTATACGTGAAATTGAATTCGCTCTGTAGTCGTATTCCGCATGGTGAAAGTTATTTGCCCATCCTCTCAGTGTTACCTTTGATGTGAAAGAAAGGTTGACTGTCGATAAAAAATAAAATGGCTTCTGCAGATCAGGATTGCTGTCAACCTGAGTGGGAACAGAAAGTTGTTCGGCACAGGTTTAGGCTAGGACGCGCAGGACAATGCATCCTCGAATTCACTGCTGAATCCCCAAAACGAGCCGATTTGCTGTGCATTTTGGATCGCTGACTCAGCTGCATTCCTGTCTGCTGCACATTCCGATGCATGACGAGAGAACAGCATCAATGGTACACCATGCACTGATATGTGTACTGCAAGCGGGTGCTGCGTGTGTGCCGCCGCGAGGAGACGGCGTGTGAACTGCACAGTCAGGAGAGTGCCCAACGGCTCCGATTTTACAAAGGTGCGCAAGCCGCGTCCTCCGATTAGCGGTTTTCTGACAACATCAAGCCTACGATAGGTCGCAATATCGCTTAAGCGCAACTGCACGTAGAAGGAGTGATTCGAGCGACCAATACTCCGACAGAATCCAGCACCAGGAGCCGACCTGAGGACGACATCCCACGAAGTTTTTCAAATGAGGAAAGCGCTCAGATATCCAGCCTGGCAACAACAAAAATCCGCATTCGGGTGAGGAAAAGTGGCACTTAAGATCGAAGGTGGTGGGTCCCCGTACCAGGGAGCACTGGAACCATCAATGAGCTACTTTGGCCCACCAATCGACTGTAATCACCACTTTCTAAAATTCGCCACAATTCCTTCCTATAGGGTTCGACAATTTTAATGTTCCGTCTTTGTCCGCTGCATCGTAATTCACTTAAGCCTTGGCCTGAAAGCCTGGAAAAAATAAGCCACTTTACACCCTCCGCCTTCCGTGACCTTGTGTGCATTTGTGCCGTTGTGCTGTTGTGTTTAGTTATAATTTGTCGAAGTGAATACTTACCAAGTGGTCAGCCAATCAATCAGAGACAGCTTGTCGGATTGTCGACTGGCGCATGGTTACTCAGAATACCGTGACCTTGGGTCACAGAGTGTGGCTTGGTGAGTCAGCTGAATGTGCGTTGCTTAACCCAGGAAAGGGTCATCCCTATGAGCGCTAACGCCAAAGGATTTACATTTATATTGCGATTATTTGTTTCTCAGTAGCCCCGTAGAATTTGCTATATGCAGCTTGGTTTCGATACTTGGGCTTGATCGGATAGACAACATTCTGGCCTGAGAAACCCAAAATTAAAATGAGCAGCTCCCCACCTGAACCATGTAATATGGTTGGATATCTATTAGAGCCAAAAGCGATAGGGAACAATATTTTAAGGTATAAATACCCGCGAAGTTGTGGGAATATTTCCATGAAGCAAGATCAAACACCTCCCTTCGCAATGGAAGAATGCTTTTGTGGAACTTGAAGGCCTGGCGCCGCTTCCAAATACGAAGGCATGGGCACAGATCAAGTATACGTCGAAATTCTTTAACGATACTCATCATACTCGAACTAGGGAGGTTGTGGCCGCTTGCACTCCCTTCTTTCAACTAAGCCCCTTCGTTTGGTAAACAGTATCCTGGTGAGTACCGACCTACTTAAGAAACAGAAGTAGTGTGCCCAGTGAAAATCTGATAAATCAGCACTCAAACGGCCGGTCAACGCCAGGACACTTATGGATTTATGCCATTTAGGGTGAGTGGCGCTACATCCCATGTAAGTTCGAGTACACCACTGAACAGTCATCCATAGGGACCTGCACAACCGATGGATTGGAATTTCTTCGAACCTTCTGATGAATCTCCTTTAACTACAAATCCCTGATCGATTCGGTTTGCTCCTCCATACATGAACATTCTCCCTTTTTCATCAGATGAGCGTATACACGAGCAATAGAGGCAAACTGGTTCACGAGTACCAATCCAATTGAACCCGCAGTGTGTGTGTGTGTGTGGAGGCTCGGCTCCAACCGTCCGCTACGACAAAGAACACCCGTGACAGGGTGGAACCAATCAATTTTGGCAGTACAAACCATCCAATGAAACAGATGGGCACTCCGAATTAATGTTAGAACAGCACGTTGCATACTTACCTTTGCAGGTGTGCGAACAAGTTGACGCTCAGCTCCCGAGTGGAGAACTGATCAACGGCTATCCAGAGTTGGGCCCGTATGGCTCCAATCAGTCCACCACCTCCACCAACACCGAAACCCTGAAGCAAACGAATCACACCAAGTTGTAACACATAATCCCATCGATAGGCCAATCCGTTTGGTCCCAGAAGACGATCAAACAGCTGATGGAACAGACCCTGATGAAGGTTCACATAGTTTCGGTTGGGATATTGTAATACTCCGGTCGTATTGGTTACATTCGTCGGGAAGGTGAGACTGTCGACTGAAAATCAACGGTGGAAAATGGTGTTCAGATCGATTTCTCTTCGGAGAATCTCAACGGTACAGTACTCCCAGTCTAAAACGCCCGCCATGGAACTATTAATTTATGCCAAAAATTCTTCAGGCGGAGGAACATTTTCACCTTTTCGCATCGTCGATCAATTTTACCAGCAACGTTTCCCAGTAGTTACGGAGTAACCCTCAAACAGAGGCCACATTGACGTATGAGTGGAATGCGGTTTCTTCTGAGACCTTGACCTACTTTTATTGTATGTTGTGTAGAACCGAAAAGAGAGAGAGCAACTATTAATGTGTGTGTGTGCTTGAATGCAACTAATTTCATTTTGTTAACCTGAGACGCTAGGACAACCCATTGATTTGACCACTGATTCCGAAGAACCTTCCATTCACCATCAGAAGATCAAGGATTTGCGCCCCATTTGAAGAAGACAAAACAGCTGGAGGAATAGGGACTCACATGGTGCTAAAGAGTGTCAGGTGTGACGCACGTGAAAAGCAAAGGACGGGTTGAAGAGGAGGAAGGTTAATGCATAAAAAAGCCTCATTCTGGTAGGAGGTTGGTCATCAACAGTTTTTTCTCAGGTTCATCAAAATGACACGCGGGCCACCAGAGAATTAAGGCAAGACCAGGATGATCGCTTCATAAGTAGGTACTTTGACTGGACTCGGTAAGCAGAAGAGGTGTTGCATGGGGCGAGGAATGAAAGTGAAACAGATACAGATGGCATCAAGAACGTTCGCTCTGTCTACTGACTAAAAGATATTCTCATCTTGGATGAAAGGAGGTGATGCATGGGGCGAGGAATGAAAGTAAAACAGATACAGATGGCATGTGCGCATCAAGAACGTTCGTTCTGTCTACTGACTAAAACATATTCACATCTTGGATGAAACTGATACTTCATTTTATCTGAAAGTAACCACAAAAGCTGTTCTGGAATTAAGATGGCCTGGGAAAGTGGAGAAATAAACTCGTTTTCATACTAATTTGATTTTCACGAAAGACTCAACTGAATCCCGGATGAATCTCTCGTTTATAATTTTTTATTCGTCAGCTGTAATCCGCTGTAAACTCCCATGAAAACCAAACTGGTGTGCCAAATGAGTGTACCAGGCTAATTTTGTACAATTTGGGTTCAAGCAGAACATGGGGTTCAGCGCAACTTTGGGACTGCTCCTACCTGAAGAGCCCTAAGATAAGCGAAGTCGGTCGTGAGCTGTCGAACAAACTTTAGAAACCTTATGAGTAGTGTGTTACGTCTATAAAAAGCTTGGGGAAGTTTGCCTTCCAAGAAACTACCATTGTTTGTCATTAGATAGAATGCCAGTTGGTGTCGAGTGATATTTTGGCACTTATTGCGCGTCTAGTTTCAAAGTTACCAAACAATGGAGTTTTTGCTTACTTTTGTTGGTGAATTTACACAACATATAATCAATGGTTGAAGGCCACATTGTAGGGATTCTCCAATCTCACGCAGGAGTGGTTATTAACTTGATTCGGTTCATATAGGTCCGAATACATCGCTGTATCATTATTTCCAGAAAAGCTTGATGGTGGATGAGGTCTAAGATTCACCTCTACCGAACCGGATAGTCTCCTAGAGCCGATAACAAAAGCTATTTTTCGGATGAATTCGATTGCCCAACTGGAAGGTTGTGGCGGTCAGCATGAAGGCACGAGTTAGAATTTTCATAGGTAACGTAAAACACACACAGCAACCTAACCGAAAAAGTAACGAAAGCTTTTTTTAAATAAAGCATTTCCTTCTCTTTCTGATGGATCTGTCTCAGGAGGAAACACCCCTCAAATCGACACCTTCAGGTATAAAGAGTATGATACGCCCGAATTGCGGCGGATCATTTGCAGCACTCTTGAACGCGTGCTAGTCACCTGAATGCTCAGGACCCGCCGGGACAGTATACTTCCTCCTTCTTCCTACCTACACATGGAATGTATTCAGCGGGCCGTTTGAGTTCCTTTCGAGGAACTGGGTAACCCCATCGAACACTTATAGGAAACTCCACATAATGTGCAAACGCAAGTCTCAGAATGATTTTATCGAAAAGATGCCTCCACTATCCATCCATCTTCTATTGACGTTTGAGTTCGCTTGATCAAATCTGTCCCCAGCAAAATAAACGATATGACTGATTGAAGCTATTTGCCAAACCGTACTACTCAAACAGCATTGTATTGTTTCTATTGACGTTTGAGTTCGCTTGATCAACTCTGTCCCCAGAAAAATAAACGAGTTGAATGATTGAAGCCATTTGCCAAACCGCACTCCTCAAACAGCATTGTATTGCTTGTCTTCCAAGGGAAATCTTTCAACTTACTTGCCTGTTTTTAAGGTTAGCTTAGTTATTCTAGCCTGCATGATATCTACTTGAATATATTACTTCTATTTGGTGTTCAAAGCCAATAAACGCAAAAATAAAGATTACCGACAAATCGACTCTCTTGAGACCCACACGCTAGGTGGCGAAATAAATCCGGGGCATTAATGAGGACGTCAGCGGGAAATCGTCAAAGGATGCATCTTTTGTGGCCTGTGTAGACTTTCAGAGGCATTCATTGAAACGTATCCACAACTCCACTGTATTGGCAGCGCCTCGAAAGCAATCACATTCTGTCAAACCATCCTAGCAACGAACATTCAGTAGGTTCAAATCAGAAAATAAGAGGCCGTTCGCAAAAGAAAAACAATGCAGCAATTAACGTACGGAAAGGGGATGAACCAAAGAGGAAAGAGATGTATTCCGAAAAAATCACCCGGAAACACAAAACGTATGAAAGAAGCTCCGAAGATCCTCGGGACAAACAATCTACACCATTTTTTCGGGAAATCGGTACTGATTGGATTTTTCCTAAACAGAGATTAACGCGCGAATTTCAGCTCGACGCCATTTAGGATGAAAATTGTGCTCCATGTGCCATCTGATGGTCCACCTTGCTCCCGAGACGCCGCAGTATAAACCGACAACAACGGGACAGTTGCATGCATATGGTTCCAAAGAGGCCTGAAGAAGGTATTACAAGAAGCCAGTTCGATCTGGTTACTTCAGACCTACCCACAAGTGCTCCGAAATGACCTTCAACTGGAATATTCTTCTCATCGTGTTTTTTTTTGGAGAGTGTTGTCTTTGAGCTGAATTACGAACCGCTACTTCAAAATAAATCGCTGATTGAAAATTCTCGGGCTACTTAGGCCTCGAATGAATAACCAGAGCAGATTGTTCCTTAATGAGTCAGTCAAGGCACCCAAGCCCCAAGTTGTTACGCCTTCTGACCTACTGATTTATGGGCTGTACATTACACACTGGTGAGTATCTAAGGTCAGCTAACCGAATTTCAAGCCCGAACTGTAACATTTTACCAGTTTGCAAGACGTTTTATTGACCTTATCACTCCATACAGCCCACGTCTTCAATTCATATGCTTTGAATAGTATCATAATTTGCCCTTCATAAGATGCATCATCCCAGGTTTGCGTGTCAATTCTAGCCATGCCACCTGACCAAATTAAAGGCCGAACCGATAGGGTGCATTCTCGTTTGTTGATCAGGTGGCTGTTCATCTGTGCGCCAAGTTTGGCAATTGAGTTGACAACCGATAAACTCACCCAAGCCGCCACGACACATTTCCAACTATGGTGTATTCTTATTAACAAGCGTGAAATCCACCTTACCCCATCCTGCGTGTATGCGTTCGAACTGCTCCTGAATTGAGCCAATGGGGAGTGGGTCCAGTACCTATGTTTCCGTCAAAGAAAGCTGCGCACGTTTTCGTGAACAAATGCTACGGGAAGGCAACCTGGTTGTTTACAGTTTTGTAACGAAAACGTTCAAGCTAGGGAAGGTTTGATAAGGGCACTCGAGGTGATTCGGTTCGGCAGCGAACAAGTCGAGATTCCCGTTTATCCATACTGTACCATCATGATCATCATCAAAGACACGGATGACACGGATGCTTCACTGGGTGTATACGGGCTAGGACAGTGCCAGAACGCCCAGATCTAGGCAGCAGGAACATTAGGGCCCTCTACCAAATCTTTGACTAAAAAAGACTAAAGAAAGACAGTTATGTATGGCGGGAAATGCAAGTACGCAACAAGTCATCACACAGGCTTGAACCCCAAACCTGAAGAGCCAGGAGACTGCGTCAGACCTCTAACCACTGACCAACCCGGTGTGAGACTCTGCGAGTGCAGCACGCACAACCCAGGTATGGCTGAGGTGCGCAAACCGTCACAGCACGGCAAGGTCCAATCTGTTCTTGACGGAGCGGTGCCACTGTGGATACCACCGCTCGCAGTTTCAATAAATTCTGCTTCAATGCTCGGCAACACAGATGTATAGGCTTACCTTTACACCTTACTTGTTAGGTGGTTTGGTACGCTATGACCTCGAACAGAAAGGTTCAGCTAGGCAGCACAACGACAAATCCCACGACAGTCGAGTTTCGAGCTTTGAAAGTAAAGGCTCTCTGACGTGACAATAAAACAGCAAACCAGGCCAAACACCCAGATGCATATTTGGATCTCTGTGAAAGCGAGTAATTCAGTGCAACAAACAGTTCACTGCTTACGTGAATTCTCGAGAAGTCTAGCCGGATTGCCCGGCTACTTCATGCTCAATTCGGAACCATTTTAACGCTTCCGGTTCAGCTTTGTGTCGATTGAAACTTCATAAACTATTATTTGTACCCGATAAGAGAGTTTGTCTGATCCGGCCAGGTAGAGTCACCTTGATCCAACTAAACGGCTGAGTGCGGTTCTGTCGACAGAGTTACGTAAATTTGATCTCGTCGTTGGTCTGACTGGTCTATACCAGTCGGACTGGTGTTATCGATCCTAATCCAATATCGGACGCGTTGAGCATGCATAACTGTTTCGTTTGCACACAATACGTGTTAGTATCATGGTCTTTGTTCCGACGATACCGTGTGATGACAGGCCTATCTCTGGCACAACAGTCCGA